GAGAGAATGAGTCTTTAATCTGCTGGTTCATTGCCCAGATGTCGCAATGGCTGGAGCTGTGCCGATCGAAGCCAGGAACTTCTTCCAGTCTCTCACAAGGGTATAGGGGCCCAATGATTTGGACCATCCTTCTACTGCTTTTCTAAGCCATAGCAGAGAGCTGGATCAGAAGTGGAGCAGCCAGGACTTGAACCAGTGCCCATATAGGAAGCTGGCACTGCAGGCTGCGGCTTTACCACTATGCCACAGTGCCAGCCCCCACATTAATATATTTTCTAAAATCTCTCCACTTATTTCATAAGGGAAATATAGACTTCATTTTAAGAAAACTATTTGTCTTCAAAACTTAAATAGGGGGGCCAGTGCTGTGGCATAGTGGGTATAGCTGCCACCTATAGAGCTGGCATCCCTTATGGGTGCCGGCTCGAGTCTTGGCTGCTCCACTTCCGATCCAGCTCTCTGCTATGGCCTAGGAAAGCAGTGGAAGATGGCTCCAGTCCTTGGGCCTCTGAACCCACGTGGGAGATCAAGAAGCTCCTGGCTCCTGGCTTTAGATCGGCCCAGCTCGTCATTGTGGCCACTTGGGGAGTGAACAAGTGGACGGAAGACCCCTCTGTGTCTCTGCCTCTCTGTAACTCTGCCTTTCAAGTAAAATACATCTTAAAAAAAAATAAAAAAACTTAAATAGAATTTTATTTAATTTTGTTTATTTAAAAGGCAGAGCAACAGAGAGGTGGGTGGTGGGTGGGATAAGGGAGAGACAAAATGATCTTGTTTTCATTGGTTCACCCGCACAAATGGCTACAACAGTCAAGTCTGGGGCAGGCTAAAGCCAGGGGCTAGGACATCCTGGTGTCCCAAATAGGTGCTTAGGCCATATTCTGCATAGGCACGTTAGCAGGAAGCTGGATTGGAGGCAAAGCAGCCCGGACTCACATCAGCACTCTGATACAGGATTCCAGTGTTGACAGTAGCAGCTTAGCCCACTGCACTACAACATTAACCCCTCCATGAAGTTTTAAATGCATCATTCTACATTACAATAGAGTTTTAGGTACAAATATAATTGAACTGTTAGTGCCCCCTAAAGACCACAGGGAACACACCCATAGCAAGCAAGTTGAGTCAGTTAGTCCTGGAAACAGTGGGAGGCTGCTTTGTAGGAAGGTTGGGCTTGTTCCGAATTGGGTGTTGTCAGGGACAGTTCTGGGTAGCTCTGTAGCCCTTATCTAGAATGCAGGCGGGCTAGAGGGAAACTGAAGCTATGGTGGTACGGCCACAGCAGTTGGCCAGAGTAGGGGAGCAGTTGGTGATTTTTGTGGTTTGCAAAATGCTCATGTTCTGACTGTTCAGACATGATTACAGAGTGCTCTCGTTTTAGTCGTGAGTCCTCATGACCACAGAGTGGCCTTATCAATGTTATCTACTTCCCTGTAGGATAAAAGAACCTATGAGCTAACTGCGAATTGCCAAACCACCCCCCCGCCCAAAAAAACACCCACCCAAACTGGAAGGGTTGCAAAACCCGTAACTGTTCTAAACAGCAACTTAAAATTTAAGTTCTCAACTTTCAGATGTTACAATTTTTAAATAATTCTTCTCTGTTGCAGTAGGAACCATCGAAGGTTTTCAGTGTTCACCCTACCCTGAAGTCGATCAGTTTGTTCTTTCCTTGGTGACTAAAAATGACATTAAAGGAGGTACAACTCATCTTATTTTTTATTAACTGTTATAGGATCGAGTCATGATATCTTTAGAAACATTCTTTATATTTTAGGAATTAGGCGTTGGAGCTACTTTTTCCCAGAACAGTTGTTGGTTTATGATATTTTCAAATATCGCTGGTGTGAGAACATTGGAAGAGCCCACAAGAGTAATAACATCATGTAAGTAATCTTGTTTATTAATGCTGAGATGTATTCTGAATGTTTATAACTTTTTTTTTTTTTAAAGATTGTTTTTAAATTTATTTGAGAGGCAGAGTTAGAGAGATGGAGAGACAGAGGTCTTCCATCCACTGGTTCACTCCCCAAAAGGCTGCAATGGCAGGAACAGAGGTGATGAGGAGCCTGGAGCCAGAAGCTTCTTCTGAGTCTCGTACATAGAAGCAGGGGTCCACTGCTTTCCCAGGCCATAAGCAGGGAGCTGGATCGGAAGAGAAGTAGCCAGGACACAACTGGTGCCCATTTGGGATGCTGATGCTGCAGGTGGAAGCTTAGCCTACTAAGCCACAGCACTGGCCCCATGTTTACAACTTTGAAATAAAGCTGACAATATAAAAATGTAACAAGTTAAACTAATTAGATTATTACATTTGTTGGGGTTTATAATATTCAGAGATCTTATTACATTGCTTCTAACATACGGCAGCTTTATTTGTCCTTTGATAAAATGACATAGTCTATAATCTTGAAGACTGAAGTAGATTAAGGACTAAAAAGCAAGCAGCAGGCAGGGAGTGGATGTGATGAAAAGGGTGTTCTAGATACCTGTGGAAGTGATTGAAACTGGGCCGATTGCGGCAAGACGACAACTCCTCTGTGCTACAGAGCTGGAGGTTAAGGCTGTGTTAACTGCATATAGATAAATCACACATTACTGAGCTATTGGATGCTTGTTAGAAATGCCAGGCCCTGTTTTAGGTAATTTTTTAAAATGCTCCTGGCAAAACAAGAGGAAGTAAAAAGATGAAGTAAAACTAGAAATATAATTTAAAATAATAAAGGGATATAGTCAGAAGGGGGATAAAACAGAAATCTAGTTACAACATGGGAAATGTTATTTCATATTTAATGTCAAAGCTGATACTCTTACATAGCACATGTGCTAGAAGGGGGAGATGATCCAAGTGTGTGTTGGAAAATGTGTGGCATGATTCAGTGCTATGGTTGATATTCTTAAATGAAAAACAATCTTGAAAAGCTCTATTCTTGGGCCACTGTTGTGGCCTCGCACAGTAAGCTGCAGCTTGCAGTGCTGCTGTTCCATGCCAGAGCACCAGTTCAAGTCCTGGCTGCTCTCCTGTCCGTCTAAAGCGCCTGGGAAAGCAGCAGATGGCCCAAGAGCTTGGGTCTGTCACCCGTGAGGGAGATCTGGGTGGAGTTCCAGGCTCCTGGCTTTGGCAGTTTGTAGCCACACTGGGAAAGAGCCAGTGTGGAGAGAAATCTCAGTTGCTTCCATGTGTGTTTCCCTCCCTCCCTCCCTCCCTTTAAAAATAAATCTTAAAAGAGAATTATATGCTCAATACACCAAGCTGTCACCAAAAAAGATCCCCACAGTCCTATAACCCAGTGAAAACTACAGTTAGCACTGATGCATCTTTCTAGTCTTCTGTGCGTGGACATTTACAAAAAAAATAAGATTATATCCAATTATTTTTTAGCGGTGAAATATTACATGTAATAGTATATATATGTATAAGTAATATGCGCCTCTTAAAGACCAATGCTCAAATTCCATTTTGTGCAATTTGATGGACACAGGGAGAGAGCTGTTCTATCTTTCGGGGAGATCTTCTGTCAGTGTGTGCGTTTTCCTCCTGAAGTCCATTTTGTGTGATATTTTAGGCAACTGGTTTTGTTTGTTGTGTATCTTGTTTTTACTTTTTAGTTGAAGATTTAGTCATGTTTCTTCTAGACAGCATTGAGTTGGATTTATTTTTCTATACAGCTTAGGTCTTAATACTTTTCTTTTTTTAAACAAAGGATTCTGGTTGATCTGAAAAATGAAGTTTGGTATCAAAAATGTCATGATCCTATATGTAAAGCAGAAAACTTCAAAACTGACTGTGAGTTATTAATTTTTACATTTACCATAAAGTAAAAGTTAATGTTTACATAAAAACAGTTTTACTATCTTTCTGATTCAGGTTTGCCATTACCTGCTGAAGTATGTCTTTTGTTTCTTCTCAAAGAGGTAAGTGCAGTTTTGTATCATTGTCATTACTAAGTCTTGGTATTATAGTATAAATGAACCAGGAGCACTGTCCACTAAGCTTTTTTTTTTTTTTTTTTTGACAGGCAGAGTTAGGGAGAGAGAGAGAAAGGTCTTTCTTCTGTTGGTTCACCCCCCAAATGGCTGCCATGGCCAGCACGCTGCGCCGTGCCAAAGCCAGGTGCTTCCTCCCAGTCTCCCATGCGGGTGCAGGGGCTCAAGCACCTGGGCCATCCTCCACTGCCTTCCCAGGCCACAGCAGAGAGCTGGAAGAGGAGCAGCCAGGACTAGAACCCAGGGTGCCAGCACCACAGGCGGAGGATTAGCCTAGTGAGCCGTGGCACCGGCCTCCACTAAGCTTTTTAAGCACAATGTTTGTAACACATTGTTTTCACTTGAAGATCCATCTTGGTGATTTTCCTACCTCAGTATATATTTAATGACACATACCTCACTCTTTACTGCATAAGACTTAGTACACTTTAACCAGTCCTAGACATTAAAGAGGTTTCTGGTTGTATAAACCAAAATACCCTTCTTTCTTTCTGGCACAGTGCTTGCAGCAGACATATCAGAGTGCCCAGTTCTTGTCTGCCTCCTCTGCTTCCTGCAGCCCACATGGGAGATCTGGATTGCATTCCAGGTTCTTGGCCTAGCCCTGGCTGTTACGGTTATTTGGGGGGAGTGAACTAGTGGATGTGGGATCTTTGTGACTCTGCCTTTCAAATAAAAAAATTGCATATACCCTTTGCTGCCATTTTTTCCCCCAAAGATTTATTTGAAAGTCAGAGTTACACAGAGAGAGGTCTTCCATCTGCTGGTTCACTCCCCAACTGGCTACAACAGCCAGAACTGCGCCAATACGAAGCCAGGAGCTTCTTCTGGGTCTCCCATGAGGGTGCAGGGGCCCAAGTACTTGGGCCATCTTCCACTGCTTTCCCAGGCCACAGCAGAGAGCTGGATCTCAAACTGGTGTCCACAGGGGATACTGGCACTGCAGGTAGCAGCTTCACCCACTATGCCAGCAGTTTTAATCGTGGTTTGACAATCCAATAATACCACCAACATTTCTTTCAAAGATCTTTATTTGCCCAAATAATTTAAAATCTTCCTCATAATATTACAACATTTTTATCTGGGCTCATATTTTTAAAACCAGTAAGTATACATAATACTCTGTGGGGCCTTTCCTTTTTAAGGTTTATTCTTCCATCCACTCCCCAAATGGCTGCAACAGCTGCTTCTGGGTCTCCCACGTGGTGCAGGGCCCAGCTGGGACTTGAACCGGTGCCCCTACAGGATGCTGGTGCCCCAGGCGGAGGCTCCACACCTAATTTAAGGAAATTTAACATCACTATTATCTCATGTAAGCCTTAGTGATTAGTCCTTGGCAGTTTGTCTTTAACAGGTACACAGGCCACTTGAACAGGTAAGTCTGTCCTTGCTGTAGCACCTGCTGGGGATGCTGAAACATCTGTGCCACAGAACTGCAGGCAGTTTCAAATGGGGAGTCTAAGGAGTATCTGAGCCAACTCCAGAAACAGTTAATATTCTCATTCCTATCGAACTGTTCTTAAGATCTTAATATGTGGTGATTTCATTATATATTCAGTCTATGTAGAATTACAACTAGATTTTTTTTTTAAAGGAAGAAGAATTTACAACAGAGGAAACTAGGAACAATGAAACCACGAGCCCTCATAAACCGTCCCCTGGTGCATCCTCTGACCCTGGCTGGGACAATGGCATGGATGATGCTTGCTTTTTAGAAGCCACTGAAGATGCTGAATTAGCAGAGGCTGCAGAGAGCAGTCTTCTGCGTCACAGTAGTGGAGTGGATGAGATTCCTGATGACCTCATTATGGAAGTACTACAAGAGTAGCCAACTGTGGACATCACATAAGCAGCCTGTAATCTGCGAGATTTGTAACAAAAAATTATATTCAGTCTGTCAAATGTTACTTGGAAAATAATGTAAGTAAATCAATTTTATTGCAAATTAACTGTAGTATTTAGTCTATGTTCACATTGTCTTAATTTTACAGGTTAAAACATACATGTTTGGGACTGATTCAGATAGGGTTTCAGCATTTTTAAATTACTCAAGACATTATCCTAAAAGGATCATGGCCTCTAAAACTATTAATCAGTACTAAATCCTGGGGACTGGACCCTACTTGTTTTCAGAGGCCGCAGGGGACTAAGTTGGCACATTTCAGTACGGCTGTCTCCTCAGTGCTGGTCAAGGAGATTCTCTAATTGGTGGTTGATATTTTGCAAATGATTTTCAGCTCCCAAAAAGGTTCTTGCTTTAAATAACAGAGCTGGAAGGCTGGATGAATCATACTGTTGAAAGAAAATAATTCAGATTAGCTAATATCAAAAACTCTTACAATCCTGTCTTTACATAGTTCAATCTGAAACCAATGGAAAAGATCTAACTTGTCAACTCCTCTTCCTTTCACTTTTACAATTGGTTTTAATTCATTTCCTTAGGATAGAATTCGTAGAACATTGCAAAGGAGTGGCTCTGTACATCTGAGTGCCTGGGGCAGGTCAAGACTTGGTTTGAGCAAGTCTGTCTGATCTCATGTCTATTTTAAAACACACAACAAAAAACATTAGGCAGGTTTACTTTTACTGGAAGAACCAAAGGATGAGAACACCCAGCTTATAATAGCTCATAAGGGGAAAAAAAACTCTAAATCCACTCTAAGAAAACTTTAATCATGGAACTGATCCTTCCAATAAGACAAAATTACTATGCAAGTCGAACAAAATCAACTCATGAGTTTAAACTAGTAAGCCAACCCAAAATTGATTAAATTCCTCTTTAGTTTTCTGACTACTACCTAGAAAACAGTGGATTTTTTTCCTGGCATACAATTTACCATATGTTGAGAGAATTCAAGAGCCTAATTAAGACACTAAGCACCTGCTCTCAGGGAGTGGAGGGAGGAGAACTTGCTTGGTGCTACAGGTTTAGTTTAGGAAAAGAGGTGAGGCTGAGAACACAGCTGGGAGTGATATGGTCTAAAGGTACAGTCGCTGAATTTGTTTTAATGAAAGTGGTTGCTATTTTTCTAAATTTAATAACCAAGTCCACTTAAGCTTTAGACTAGTTAGGTACTTTGGGCTCAGGAAAACTGCATCAGTGTCAAAATTTAAAGCTGAATTTAGAAAACAAATCTGGTAACATTTTATGTAAAATTATACTAGGTGGACAACTTAAAGTGTATATTAAAAAGTCCAGAAATGGGGGCCACTGCTGTGGCCTAACAGCATCCCATATGAGCACCAGTTCATGTCCCGGCTGCTCCCTGCTGATGGCCTGGGAAAAGCAGTGGGAGACCCACGTGAAGGTCCTGGCCCAGCACTGGCTGTTGCAGCCGTCTGGGGGCGTGAACCACTAGAGGGAAGATCTGTCTCTCCTCTACCTGTGACTTTCAAATAAAAAATTTTGTAGTTACTTTTTTTATTAATCCAATAATATTGCTTTTTCTTGCCATTTATAGATAATGGCTTTTTAGATACATGTACCAAGAACATGAGCTAGACATAAAAATGTGGTTGTGCAAAGCCTACTCTTCCCTTATTGAACTCAGTGAGCCCGGGTTTTCCTGTACTGCTGCAGCTCCCCTCCTGAGGCAGAGTCGAAAGTAAAAAAAAACTCCAAGTTACCGTTTCCTTTGTGTCTGGTTCTTTCTCTTGAAGATCTGAGTACTCGTGATAGAGCTGTTTTAAATTAGATAGGAAATCTGCTGCCGTCCTCAGGGATGACTTTCTCTCCTTAAGTTCGTCGTATTTTGTTTGTAGCTGTATCAGCTGGGGCTCTAACCTAGAGCGAAAAGAAGTACACCGGGTGAAGGATGGAACACCAGGGTGGTGGCTGCTCCGTCTACCTTCAGCTCTGACAGCAGGAATGCATGAAAGGCTCCGGGTTTCAATTTGAAATGTAGGAGAAAGGCAGCTTTCAGCCTCGCAGATGAGCCGCTGGGGCCAGCTGCGTCAGCTCTCAGAGAGAACTTGGATCTTATAGACAAAGGGAATAGAAAAGGAGTTTTATTTTGTTAAATAAAAAAATGCTAACAAAACTCTTGTCTACTATGATGTCACAACATAAGTCCTGTAAGCTGTCCTTTACAGTGGACAAGTGCAGCGTTTTGTTAGACTCACTACTGATCTGGCAGAATTGGGGTCTGACAGCGAATCCTAGCTCCCCCACTTCTGTGGGGTTTGACTGTTGGTATGTTACCTCTCCGTGCCTAGTTTTCCCAACGTAAAGTTAAAACAATAATATACCTCTCCAGTAGAAAAGGAACTAAAGAAGTGTGTTTTTAAAATATGTAATGAAGCCTTATCACCAGAGATAATAACCTCCCTCAGTGATGACAGGGACGATCAATGGGTGAAATCAGGAAAGCGCCCCGCACCCAGGGGACTGCTAGATGTAGGCTGTCGTATTACCTTGGCTGTTCTTAGCTGTAGCCTGGGCCAGCACCTGTCTGTAGTCTAAATTTGGAAACCAAAGGACTAGACAACCAATTCTCCCTCTTCAACTCCTGCGACAGTACTTTGTGCTTCACTGTCTTTTCTACCGGCCTTTCTCAGCTGTCGTACACCTTCAGAGCAGACAGCCTCCCTGGTACTGCTTTACTATCACACTCCCAGCTCACGCAACACGTACAGAAGAGCAGGAAGAAACACTTGCAGGCTGCTGTGGGCTCCAGTCTTTGCAACCAGACCCCGGCTGGCCAGTTCCGGGACCGTCTGGTCCAGCCTCTGGGAATGTGGATTCACATGAGTGCCACCCACGGTGTTTGTGTTTCACCAACACAAACTGCCAACATTTATACAGCACTTAACCATGTGCCATCCCCATGAAGCACTTCTCACAACACCCGATGGTCTGTTAGATAGCATTACGCCTTTATACTTAAGAGGGAACGGAGTTATTAACAGGTTAAGTGACTTGGCTAAAGTTGCACGGGCAGTGAGGGGCCGAGCCTGGATTCAAAGCCAGGCAGTCTAACTGCATTAATTTATGCATGAATTTAATTGGGGTGCCTGTCAGGCCACAGCTGAGAGAAGTCGGGACATCAGTGGCAAATCCTCCCTTGCTAATGGGGGCTACAGCGACGTAGCATAACCTGCCCTCACTGAGCATCCAAATTCAAAGATAACCTGGAGTTTTCGTATGGCACAGCAGCAAGTATTAACGCCTCCCGATGACGTAGCACACTTGGGTTCCTTGAGGTATGTTCTGTCACAGGACTGTTGCTATCTTACCGAAGCAGTTCATCCTGGACTTCAACCAAACGCTGCCTTTTCTTCTTGATATCTACAATCACCTAAGTAAGAGTAATTTCTTTGTTAATTTTGTGATGTGTACCGCCAGGAAAAGAGGGAACCTTGGAATAGTGTGGGTGGGGGATCTACTTCAGGATGATCTGGAGAAGGTGAGGGGCTAGATCCTCAGTAGATCCCATGAGCTAGACAGATGTGATCTTGCAGGACAGTGTTGTGATCTGTTTTGTATTTTTTTTTTTTTTTTGACAGGCAGAGTGGACAGTGAGAGAGAGAGAGACAGAGAGAAAGGTCTTCCTTTGCTGTTGGTTCACCCTCCAATGGCCGCTGCAGCCGGCACACCGCACTGATCCGATGGTAGGAGCCAGGTGCTTCTCCTGGTCTCCCATGGGGTGCAGGGCCCAAGGGCTTGGGCCATCCTCCACTGCACTCCCTGACCACAGCAGAGAGCTGGCCTGGAAGAGGGGCAACCGGGACAGAATCCAGCATGCCGGCGCCGCAAGGCGGAGGACTAGCCTAGTGAGCCGTGGCGCCAGCCTCTGTTTTGTATTTTTAAAACTATTTCAATAAGTTTTCTTATCTCAGAGGTCTCATTAGTCACTACCTAAACTCTGCTGTTGGACATCCATAAACAATGTAGAAATGACCAAAATGAGATTACAGTTGAAAGAAAAAAAGATGTGTAATTGCCAGAAGACAAATGTATATTTCTCAAGGTCATTTCTGTTACCAATGCAGAGGAACAGTGACTTTGCACTCCTGGATTCGTGGAAGTTTGGTGGTGCAACCTCTGAGGTCATTCGGTCCATTCATTCACAAACAAGCAAAGGGGAATCCCGTGTTCACTGGCTTGTTTCCCACTGCTGCCTACTGAGGGGGCAGAGCCAGGACTACAGGTGAGCTCTCAGGACTCCTAACCTGGTGTTCTTCCCGGCTGCCCTTTTGCCTTAGACAGTGCTCTAAAAGGTTTTGCTTTTTGACACCCACAAAAGCAATAAATGTACATTACTCAACATGTACCCATATAAGGGACCATTTTGGACGTTGATAGCCATTTTTAGACCAACTGAGACATCTTTCAAAAAGATTTAATAGCACTTCCTTGAACATCAACCAAATAAGAGTCTAAAAAGATAAAAATTCTTACACAAAATTCTAAAGGCAGCAAACCCCAAAGTCAGGTCCTAACCACCTGTGTTAGTATCGTGTAGTCACATCACCCTAATTGCTGACGTCACTTACCTTAGCGTTCTTCCTTTTCAGGTTTTTCAACATCTGGGCTTCTTTAAGCTGTATGAAACGAAAGATAATTCCTGTGCATTTCCCAAGATTAATCATTTTGACATAGGTTACATTTAATTTAAAAATAGCATGTAAAATATGAGTAGTGCTAATGACTTTATTACCATATTGCCAGAAAATGCAAGCTTTTCTATGCTAGCAGCATACTGCCTCAGGATAAGCTGAAAAACCTTAGGCCAAGAAATTTGTCAGTGAGCTTACCATTTTGATGAGTTCTTCTTTAATATTACAATGAAATTTATTGATGGCTTCTTTACAAATTTTAGATTCTATTCTTTCTCTGTAGAGGAGTTAAAAAAAGGGATCAAATTAGGTATCATGAAGGATTTTGAAATGTGTTTCTCCAGCTTAGCATATGTAATATACATGCACAACTTGGCATGTACCATTTAAAAAAATTTAAGATGTAATATTCAGCCTGTGGTACTTTCTCAGACAATCTAGGAAACATGTCTCAGCAAAGAAAATGACCAGAAGTGCCCTTCACCAACGATGGGCAAGCCAGAGAGTGGTTGTGCCCACGCTCACACTGTTAAGCAACCCTGCGGTGAGAACCACATCTGACGGCTCACCCCAGTGACCCAGGGACCCTCTTCAAATCACCTTAGCTGAACTACCTCCTTCCTCTTAGAACCATTAACTTAACGACTTTGGGGTTTAACATGCTGCATGAGTTTAGAGGCAAATCATACTCAAACCAGAACACGTGAGCTCCTATATTTAATTTATTTAATTTCTTCTCCAATTTTTACTATTAGTCTCCTGCTTACTTTGGGTTTCCTTTGCTTCTGTACCTGGATTGCTAAGATGAGTTAGATGACTGATGCACTGCTTTCCTGGCATCCCATATTTTTCACTTTAGTTCAAACACATTTAGTTTTCTGTTAAGATTTCTTCTTTGACATACATGTTCTTTATAAGTATGTTGTGGCCGGCGCCGCGGCTCACTAGGCTAATCCTCAGCCTGCGGCGCCGGCACACCGGGTTCTAGTCCCGGTCAGGGCGGCGGATTCTGTCTCAGTTGCCCCTCTTCCAGTCCAGCTCTTTGCTGTGGCCCGGGAGTGCAGTGGAGGATGGCCCAAGTGCTTGGGCCCTGCACCCCATGGGAGACCAGGAGAAGCACCTGGCTCCTGCCTTCGGATCAGCATGCTGCGCCGGCCGCAGTGGCCATTGGAGGGTGAACCAACGGCAAAGGAAGACCTTTCTGTCTACTCTGTCAAAAAAAAAAAAAAAAAAAAAAAGGTATGTTGTTTAATTGCCAAGTATTTAAAAATTTTTTTCCAGCTATCTGTCTGCAACCAGACACTGTAAGATTTCTATTATTTTACATTTCTTAGGGTTGTGTTTTTTATGGCCTAGATTGTGATCTGTCTTGACAAATATTCCTTGTGATCTTGAGAAGAATGTGTATTCTGTGTTGCTGAAGTAGCCTGCAGTCTATAGCTATCCATAATAGGTTGAACACCCCTCATCTAAAAACCCAGCATCCAAAACGCTCTGAAATCCAAAATGCTGAGTGCCAACATTACACTCAGTTTTGGATTCTTGGATTAAAGACACTCAACCAATTAAGTGTGCAGGTATTCCAAAATCTGAAAAGCTCAGAAATCAAACATTTTCAGTCCCAAACACTTCAGATAAAGGACACTCAGCTTGTACAGTGTTTCTTATCTCTGGCATTTGTTTTACTGTTTGAATTTAGAACTCTTGGGAGCAGGGGTTTGATGCAGTGGTGAAGCCATTGCTTGGGCGGCCCATAGCCCACATCAGCATGCCTGGTTTGAGTTCCAGCTCTGCTTCAATTCTAGCTCCCTGCTGACGTGCACCCCTGGAGGCGGCAGGTGGTGGCTCAGTGTTGGGTCCCTGCCAGCCATGTGGGGGACCCAGACTGACTTCCTGGCTCCTGGATTTGGCCTGGCCCAGCCTCAGCTATTGTAGGCATTTGGGGAGTGAACCACAGTAGATGGAAGAAATCAGTATCTCTCTTCCACCCCTTCCCTCTCCCTTTCAAATAAAATGAAAAAAAAATTAAACAATAATTTGTATCTCTCGGCTGTATCACTCATTTTCTCCAAAGAAGATACAAATGGTCATGAAGCACCTGAAAAGACACGCAACACTAACACGAGGGGAATGCAGACAGGTCTACATGGCACTCTACTCACTGGGATGACTACTGTAAACACCACCAGAACATGGGTGTTGGCAGGAATGCGGAGAAAGAGACACAAATAACTGGAAGGACATTCCATGCTTATTGACTAGAAAACTTAATACACAGATTCGCTGCACCTCCTATCAAAAGTCCAGTGACATTTTCTGCAGCACTAGAAAAAATCCTAAAATTCATGTGACTATCAAAAGACTCCAGAAAGCCAAAACAATCTTAAGAAAGCTGCAGGCCTCATACTTTGATTTAGAAACATATTACAAAGCTACAGTAGTCAAAACAGGATGGCACTGGAATACAGACAGAAACACAGACCAATAAGACTGCATAGCAAATCCAGAAACAAACTTTCACATACACTGGGGGCTTCTGATCGTCAGTGTGGTGCCAGCACTACATAATGGGGAAGGCAGGCTCTTCAGCAAGGGGTGTTAGAAAATCTGCAGGTCCACCTGTAAAATAAGTGAAGCTGGCCCTTACCTTACACCACACATACTTCAAAATGCACTCAGAATGCATTAAAGACTAAAACAGTAACGTCCCAAGTGGAAAAAATAGGGATTGCATGTCACATCAACACACAGATAACAAAAGCAAGAACAGACAAATGGAGCTGCATCCGTTTAAAGCTTCTATTTGCCTTAAAAAGGAAATTCTGACAACATGGCCACCACGTGGATTACCCTGAGGACAGACGCGTGAAATAAGCTAATTACAAAGGGACGCATATGAGGGGTCTTCAGAAGGTTTGTGGAAAATGGATTTTAGGGCAAAACTATGCATGGGTTTCAAAATTTTGTGCACCAAATAACTATCTTTTAATTCCATTTTGTTTTTAAGTACCCTCAAATGTATGATCCCACTTATGAGTTACACAGAGTAGTCAAGTCTGCAGAACAAAGTAGAAGAGTGCTTGCTAGGGGCTGGTGAGAAGGGGATAGTTTAATGGACACAGGTTTGGGCTTGACCAGATGAACGGTGTCTAGAGCGGGGTCCACAACAGTGACAATCTACTTCACACTGCCGACCTGTGCACTTACAAATGCTTAAGATGGCAAGTTTTATGACGTCCTGTTATCACAGGTACAAATTATATGTCCTATCTTGTGAAGAAGAATTTCTAATTTAATATAGATACCAAATTTTCAGATGTGAAAAAAAATTTTTTGGCCAGCACTATGACTCAATAGGCTAATCCTCCACCTGTGGCGCTGGCACACCGGGTTCTAGTCCCGGTCGGGGCACCGGATTCTGTCCTGGTTGCCCCTCTTCCAGGCCAGCTCTCTGCTGTGGCCAGGGAGTGCAGTGGAGGATGGCCCAAGTGCTTGGGCCCTGCACCCCATGGGAGACCAGGAGAAGCACCTGGCTCCTGCCATCGGATCAGCGTGGTGCGCCGGCCGCAGCGGCCATTGGGGGATGAACCAACAGAAAAGGAAGACCTTTCTCTCTCTATCTCTGTCCACTCTGCCTGTCAAAAAAAAAATTTTTTTTTTTAATAAGAAAAACAGGCCAGGCCTCTCTGCTGCGGCTCATTCTAATGATGATAAACTGATGGATTCTATCAGCCACAAGGTGACAGTCTACACAGGATGCTCAGACACAGCTCTTTCAAGTTTTAGTGCTTAAGAAACCTGGCCACTTCATCCAGACCTAGTTATGGAGTATCCTAAGAATGTGTGACGTTTGCATTTCATGACATACTTCCTTGCTTATACACACTGACATACTGCTTACAACGAGCGAGTCTGTTGACAAGCAAAAAAAAAATTGTTCAGGCTTGTCACGTGTATTACAAATAGCAGACCCCCAAACAGGTGTTTATTTGGAAAGTGGGAAGTGTTCCACGTGGCTGAGAACCTAGAGGTTGCAAAAACACAATGGATCAGTGATTTCACAGGAATTGTTTGATGCAACAAAAAACAACGTTGTTTTGTAATTTTAAAAGTCTGTGAAAAATGCAAGTGAAGTATTCTTTATCCAAACTGCCGGGGACCAGAAGCATTTTGTATTGCAATTGTTTTGGATTTTGGAGTATGTGCATATACATAATGAGACTTCTAGGGGCTGGGACTCAAGTCTAAACATGAAAATTCATTTATATTTCATATACACCTGAAACACATGGCTTAAAGATAATTTTATGCGACATTTTAAGTATGTGTTCTGACTGCAGTCTGTCACATGAGGTCAGGTGTGGAATGTTCCACTGTGGCTTCCTGTTGGTGCTCAGTTTCAGATTTTCAAGCATTTTAGGTCCTGGATTTTCCAATCTGTCCCTTTCCTAAGTCACTTCCCAAGAACTTAATGTGCTAAGGGTAGGCATTTATTATTTTCAAGACTGTTTTTATTTATTTGAGAGGTAGAGTTACAGGCAGTGAGAAGGAGAAAGAAACAGGTCTTCCTTCCCGTTGGTTCACTCCCCAATGGCCACAATGGCTGGAACTGCACTGATCTGAAGCCAGGAACCAGGAGCTTCTTCTGGGTCTCTCATGTGGGTGCAGGGACCCAAGGACTTGGGCCATCCTCCACTGCTTTCCCAGGCCACAGCAGAGAGCTGGACTGGAAGAGGGGCAACCAGGACTCGAACCAGTGCCCAAATGGGATGCCGGTGCCGCAGGCGGAAAATTAACCTACTGTGCCATGGCGCTGGCCCCAAGGGTAGGCATTTCTTTAGCCCAGTGATTGAGACACCCACATCCCATATCAGAGCTCCTAGGTTGGATAACTGGCCCTCATTCCCGATTCTAGCTTCCTGCTAATTCAGACCGTGGGAAGCAGTGCTGGTGGCTCAGGTAACTTGGCTCCTGCCATCAGGTGGGAGACCTGGATTGAGTTCCTTCCTCCTGGCTTCGGCCCGGCCCAGGCCCAGCCCCAGCCATTGTAGGCATTTGCGGAGTGAACCAGCAGATGGATGCTCCCTCTATCCCTCAAACAAATAAATAAAAATTTAAAATATACTAAAGGTAAATTAACAAGGCCAGTTTCCCTAAAATATCCCAAGTCTATAGTAAGTCTTTAGGTGATTTATGAATGAGAAAAGGATAACAAAAGCCAGTGTTGGTGCGTTAAGAGAACCAGTTTTAACAGCAAACTGGCTCTGGATTATAGAGCAGAGAAGAAA